TTAGAAGAACCTGTGCAGAATTATGCTCTCCTACAAGCAAAGTGAAATATATATCACGCCGCCCCGGACACAACAAAAGATGTAGTGGATGCAGAACTGCGCCCTGAAGAACAAGATGGCTTCAGAAAAGGCAAATCAGCCGCTGATCAAATGCAAATCTTTGCATCATCATCGAATAAAGCATATTATGCAATAGATGACAAGCAGTGGAATCAAGGATACGCGTTTCGTCCTATTTGTACCTGCATTTTGGTCCAACCAATCGGCAGGAAAATCACAGACACAATCCAAGCATAGTATGGATGTCAAAGCTCCACCTCAAATTCCGGCATGGACTTCGAAAAGGTCTTCATCAGGCGACGTTGACCGTGAAATAATTCGGAAAGCAATTCAACTCTTTTACGTTAATTGCCGTAAATATTTATCATCCTTATCCAACAGCTTGCTATTTGACAGTGAGACTTGTTATGTGATCCGCAACCATCTAAAGTGGAGCTGAAAGTAGGACGTAGTTGCCTATTTTCCCCGAAGGTATTCCTGATTGTGGTCGACTGGATTTTGTGGCATATCGCATTTGGGAGAGAGACGATATAAATATGCCGAACTGATCATACGACTATAGAATATCTGGATTTCAAAGATGGTCTATGTCTCATGTCACACAATCTCGGAGAATTGCATGCGAAAACTGACAAACCAGAAGAGGCGGTAGTCAGCGACGACTGGAGTGCAGCTAAACATAGACGATACGCGGTTCATGAAGATTACTGACCAACCAACAGCAAAACAACTGGCATCAATGACTTTTCAATGATTAAATGTATAAGACTGCAATTCATCCACTTATCGAGGAAGCATTGTTTCAAATACATATGGAATTGATCAAGATGTCAAATGGAGATGCGGAATGGATACATGGATATTAATCAGTCAGGAATCGAATCGGAATTCCTCTGATTTCAGAACAAAGAAGATAGTCATATTTTCAACACATATGTGTGAAATCAGTCACTTCTTCTATTAGATGGATCGGAAACGTGATCAGGCAATCACGGAAAGCATTTCCAACATGCCACTGCAGACTTTTATCAACACCTGTATTCATTGGCTCCATAATGCAGTTTGTATGGCCAAGACAAATAAAGAAGCAGGTATCACTGGAGCAAAGTAACCAGGAACCTATACGATTTTGTGAAGAACAGCCTAGTCGCTTGCAAGCAGTGAATACACCTGACTGAGGCTAATTTATGTGCAAATCTGAAGATTAATCTGCTGTTATATGGAGATGACGGTTTGTATCTGGTAAAGATGTTGTCATTAGACACAGATATCCTGCTGGTGACTACCAATTCACGGTTTTCACATGCCACATCTGACAGAATTTCGACAATGAAATACCAAACATCCGTAACCACCCGAACAGACATCGCATCCACTACTTGTGGGTCTTTTGATACTAATGACCCGATTCTAACAACAACCATTAAGAATGCTTCAATTGGTGTGAATCATATACGAGGATAGTTGAAACCTCAGTCACTGCAGACATGGAAAATGCAAATGAATTCGATTGTAACATACTTACCACACGTTCACCGTCTACACATAACACCATTCATTTTCACTGAATGCTTTTCCATGTAATAATAATAATAATCACTTTATTCCACAACAATAACAATTTACAGCATGGAATTTTCAGCGTTTCTTTTACATATTGCAATGGTTTAGCTCTGTTTATAATTATATAAATGTATAAAATGTTAAAATATTGATAGTTAATAGGAAAAAATAAAAAAAAAACCAACAAAATCACACCATTTCTAGGTCATAGTGAATAATAAATAAATAATATAACAAATAACACATGCATTAATATGCATCATTACATTTTATAGTTTAGTTAATGATTCAAAAGTTGTAAAAGTTCTTTTCTGATATTTGTCTCTTCACACAATACTCGTGCCAAATATGGAACGGTCGAATTTTTATATTTTGTAGTACGAGCATAAATGTTTATAAAATTTCTTCTGGTCTTACCCGAAGAGATACAAGGAAACAATTGTGAATAAAGAGGATGTTCACTATCAGATAAGATAACTTTAGCTAAGTGTTTACAAGAATTCATATGCCTATTGACAACAGTGTCATTTAGTTCAGTCAAAGGGATAGCACTGACCCTACTTACAGCCCTCAATGTTCTTCGTAGTATTATATGATCTTTCTTGAGTAGCCCAGGGAAGAATAATGGAGAACAATAAAGAATGATGGGCAAAACACATGAATTAATAAATTGTATGATAAGAGATTGGGTTATACCTGAGTGTCTCAACTTCTTTATGTAATAAGTCAGACGGAAAACTTTCTTAGAAACTATAAGAATATGAGACGACCAGCAAAGGTTTGAAGAGAAACTAATGCCAAGATAAGAAACACTTGACTTACTCTCTATCATGGTACCATCAATATTACAACAATCATGAGATTGAATCAATCCATGCATGTCTTTTTCACTTCTCAAGCTGAAATCAACAGTGTTACATTTAGTTGGATTTAGTTTAAGACCATTTGAGCCAGACCAATCCTTAACTTCAGCTAAGAAGCCATTCATATGGGAACAATCCGATGTGGAAACTACAGGGACAGAAACGGTCAGATCATCAGCATACTTAATGAAGTTAACTTTGGGTGAGTTCGGAAGGTCATGCAAAAGAAAGAGAAAAGAAATGGAGAAAGTACTGCACCTTGAGGCACACCACTTTCAGTTAGCTGAGAAGTGGAGCGCTTTCCAGCCAAAACAGTATGCTGTTTCCTATCCTTAAAATAAGAAGACAGCCATCTAGTTGCCCAGGACTCTGTTTGTGCTGAAATCATCTTTCCTAATAAAAGTGTCCTAGGAACAGAGTCGAAAGCTGCAGTATAGTCTAAAAAAGCTGTTCGAACGAACTTAGCGCCCTTATCAAGGCAGGAAACAATATTGTGGTGTAGTACAATGGCTGCATCTAATGTACTTCTTCCACACTTATAAGCAAACTGCTTAGGGTCACTAAAAGCTTTTAAAGAAGGTTTAAGAATATTCAAAAGAAGTTTCTCCATAGTTTTCAAAAAAGGAGATGTTATAGCGACCGGTCTAAACTTTATACCTGCTCCAGAAGATGATTTCTGTACAGGTACAACCTTGATTTCTTTCCAGTCAGCAGGTACCGTTTCCCTGTTAAATGATGCGTTAAAGATTTGAGTAAGAGGATGACACAAGATGTCTGCACACTTTTGAAGAAGAATGCTTGGTACACCATCTGGACCAAGGCTGTGTGTTGGATTTAATGACTTCAAACATAATAGTACATCCTTTTCTTTAAAACCCTGAAAATGACCATTTTCTTGACTAGGTACATCAGGTACAACCATATTAATTTGTTTCTTGATAAATGATTTGTTTAAAGCATTAACATCAGAATAAGCATCAACGGACATTTGTTTTTTACTTGTAAGTTTATTGAAAAGTTTCCAAATGTTTGAAGGATTTTTACATGATAAAAATTTTTCATTATATAGTCTGTTCAACCTTTCTATTTCAATTTTTATAAGGGTGTTTATTTTACGGACACCAGTATTATCACAATTCTTATACAACTTCTCTTTTTGTCTTCTAAGTTTTTTCAGTTGCAAAGAAGAGATTCTGTCAAATCTCGAAAACAGTGTTTCATAAGGACAGCAAATTTCCAAACAAAACTTCAGATAATCGGTTATATTAGAGACAGTAGCATCCAACTTATCGTCAGTAAATAGTTCCCAGTTGGTATCATGCAACATGCTTCTTAATGCTAGAATGTTGTCATGGGAATATGAACGTTCATGTATCTTCTTTGTTAAATGACTAAACAATTTTCGTTGTAACTTGCCGTACACTTTCGGTAAAATACGAATAATGCAGTGGTCAGAATTTAGCAAAGGAGCTCTCCTTCGGGTTTCATATACATCACGGTCATTTATGAAAACCAGGTCTAGTGATTTGTCCAGACGTGTATTAAACTTGACTAGATTCTCATGACCAAGCGAAGTAAGAAAGCTGTGATCACATAAATTAAAATCACCACAGACTATAGACAACGAGTTTCCGAATGCAGGAGCAGCGAATTCAGTAAACTCATCTGCAAACATAACTATATTAGAAAGGCTACAATTGGGTGTTATGTAAATATTTGTTATGTATATATAAGAATATTTACTTAAGTGTTTTGGGCGACACCTGACGGTTATGCAATCTATATTGTCATTAGAATAATTGAAGCAAACGTGATTTGATGTAGACCAACTTGTGTTTATAAATGTGGCTACCCCTCCTCCATATTTTTTCTTGGAACTATTTCTATCTTGGCGAAAAACTTTATATCCATTTATTGAAACTAGATTATCATCATAATGCTGGTGCAGCCAAGTCTCTTGTATTGCTAAAACGCCAGCATTTCGATAAACATTGGAATACATTAGGGATTGAAGATAATCCATTTTGTTGGACAGGGATCTACAATTAGTGCTAACGAGTTCAGGAACAGTCATTTGATTAATTTGTGTACGTTTCAGTGCACGCTGCCAGCCACAGTGATGCTTTTTTCTCAATTTTTGTGGATGACACAACGCGGTAGGTTGTAATGATTTTAAAAATGCGCGATTATATATAATACGATTAGGACACATTATTGATAAATTAAAACAAAATTAAAAGAGCAAACCAAAGCAATTTTGCAAAATGTTGTAAGGTGGAATTTTTGGTATCCCTATGTTCAAGCAGGCCGCCTAATTGAACCTATAACTGAGCAGTTAGTAAAAGTGATACATTTTTCAGTAAACTCATGTGATTGGAGTGTACACATCCATTTTATTATTTTTGTCTATGGACACTGTTTCTCTCGCAACAATTACACATAGTCATGTGATGCAGAGAAGAAAATTAATATATAAACGGAGATGTTAGATGTTCATTTTCAAGTAATTTTGAGCAGGAACATGATGCTCTCAATGCAAATTATACTTTTCTCAGTAGTGCCACTGGCCTTGGCCAATTTAGATGAAAATTCTGCCAAAATACTGCAAATGCATAATGAATTTCGTCAACAGATACTCGAGTGTAAAGTGAAGGGACAACCATCAGCTAAGAGAATGCCTCCACTCGTGAGTCCATTTTGCATTCTTTGTTTTCCTAATTGATGGGTATTGTTTATAAAGTGTTAAGATAATTTTGAAACCACTGTAGTTTCAGTGATTCAACAAACTTCTTCTCTATGCAGAACTTACACATTAATGTGTAAATTGCCATCTCTGTGGTGGTTTGAAGAAAACCGTGAGAGTGTGCCTTCGAGAATACGTTCAGGTATCAAACGCTGAGACCAACCCTCATGCTTATCTCTATCCATACGAGCAGATGAGTTATCAGTTACACAATTGTAAGATAAACACTCGAAACTTATCGTTCACATTCATACGAATCACTGGTTGCATGAAAGACTCGAGTTGGAGTTCAGCTAACTGTGACAGGTGGTATTTCTGAGTTTCTACCGATGATTCCTCATTATATTGTAGATTCACATAAAGCGGAATTTTTAGAGGCAAGAAATATGTATGCTTTAAGTGATTAAGGCATCATGGAATGGATTATGTAGAGTTCGAAGAATTCACGTTCACATTGTCCTTCGTTTTCTCCTTGGTCAGCTCACTGGTAGTCTTAAATGTTTCAACAAATATGTGTTGACCTACTTGACGAACACACTCCTCTTCTCCTCCCCCGTTTTGTTTCCATTTGTTATATAGGCGTGGGATGACGAACTGGCTAGTCTAGCGGAGGAATTAGCAAAATCTTGTACATTTGCTAACAAAATTCCGGAAAGCAAAAGATTCAAACCAGTTGGACAGAATATTGCTAGTTGTGGAAGTGTCGAAGAGTAATTTAGAGGATTACCTTTTATAAAATCATATTTATTTTAGTGTTATAAAAAGATGGTTCGGTCAACATATTTCGTATAATTTTAAAGATCATCGGTGCACTCACCGATGCAGACAGTACATGCAGGTAAGTCTCGATGGATGATTTAACTTTAGGCATAGCATTTCTCGTAGTGATTGATATTTGAGATTAATTAACCATTTTATTATTGGTAACAGCTTGATTCCACACTGTATTTTTGGTACAAGTATGGAATTTTCAGCGTGGATATCGGTAGCCCAAATTTCGCATGCCGACCATAGATATCTGGTGTGCGCCGGTGTGGGCTCGAACCCCGGACCATCTGCATGGTCGTCGAGAGTCCTAACCATTGTGCCACCGACGCACACATGTGGACAAGTGTCTTGTCATGCAATTAATGGCAACAATAATAATAATATCATCTTCATTCTCGATACTATCCGTCAAATTTACACAACTTCCTAAGAAGTTTATTACAAGCTATTTTGCCTATGTAGAATATCTTCAAAGGGTGAATGCGACTTGATGTTGAATATCAACAAGACTAAGGCTTAATGCCCTAAAGAATAATTTATGTTAGGAGCCTATCTATCCAATCTCCCAACAGTCGAAATTTCAACTATTCTAACGAGGTGTTGTCCGGGATGATGTTCTCAAAAACATTTAAGGTGAATTCATTGAACTCATCTCATAGTATCGTCCACACAAATTGACAATTATTCAAACAGTCAACAACTTCAGTAGTATGAATGATTGTGCCCTTGGATTACTAGTCGAATATCAGGTTCTAACAGGTCACAGTCAATTTAGGGTATTGTCTGTATTTCTTCTTTCGCCATCTCCACCACCGTTTAGCAGCTTATATCCACATCTCAAACGATCCCACACGCCATCCTCACCTATCTTCTTAAAATCAACACATTGTTTCCCAGTGAGGTTCCATCACACGACCTAACCTCACTTAGTCAATTAGTTCATTTTTTCACCATCCAGTCATCGGACCTGGAAAAGTAAGAAGCTTTAACATGGGGCAAGCAATCTTTCTTTCTTCAGCCAGAATACAGATGCGATCAAAATGGAAACCTGAAAGAAGAGGAAAAGTTTTTATTGGAATTGACATGATTTAATTCGCACTAAATCTTTGGCCATAAACTAATCCTTATCTTCCCGAATTTTTCTTTATTCATTACTTTCTTATTTAGATGGTTTTCGAAAATACTACACATATTGGATGTGCAGTCAACGAATGTCCATACGCTACAAAATACACTTTGTTCATAGTTTGTAATTATGGTCCAGGGTAATTGTTTATGTGTGATGTGTATTGATTATGGTTTTCATTATAGTGTGAAGTGTTCAATTTCATTACTTAATAGTTAGAAGACTTATTTAATGTGGTTGTTTGAACTCGCAGAATGTTTTCTACCGCCAGTTCTTCTTATACTTATTAAAACCCCCGTCTTAAGATACACATATAAGTATTGACAAATTCCTAAGTGTTTGTTTGCAGAAATTTCATTGACTCCAGTGTGTGATCACAAAATGACTTCAGTTAGAGAACAACAATGAGTCAAGTAGTACAATAAACAGCTATAGTCGTCCTAATTTCAAAAATTGTTCACCGGTACACGAAAACAGGATCTCACTGGCTACAAAGAACTGGAGACATCAGATTTTGTCTCAATGACTGTATGATCTGCACAAGCTTGCCTTATATAATCGGATAGTCTTCGCTACATTCAATACCTGCTGAACAGTCTTAAACAGAAGAAGAATTGCCAAGAACTCCCCTCCTCCTCCTCGACTTTCATGGGTTCCTAAACTGTGAAGTCATTTACCGATCAATCCTGGTATTCACAATTCATTTCAAATTCATTTTGGGAATCGCAAATGCTAAGCATATCAGTTTTACTGTTGTTCTCATAGATTATTCTTTGTAGAAGTAGATGACGTTTGCAAAGTATTCCCTTGTATCTTTTGTTGAAATTCCCCTTTTTAGCCATAAGAATCCTGTTTTCCCTGTCTAATCTGGTTACCTGATTGGGTGAAGTCTAGTTCATTCATTATATGAATAAATGTAAGAGACTAGTTACACAGCACACACAGAGCACTGTTAAACTAGATTTAAGTATGCGAAGCGTGTATTGTGTCTGCGTAACCCCATCTTGAAGTGACCATTTGTGGTCTTTCCCACTTTGGAAACTGTTTGCCTGACCCTGTCGAACATTTGTCGGTATTTCGGCTCACACTTTCATATGCTGCTTTCTGCCGACCTATCAGCAGCGTCCTAAGTAGCAGCTCCATCGCTGACAGATCTTGAACGCCACTCAAGTGCTCAGAAGCCTTGAAGTCCTGCCCGAAGATTCATACGTCTCCATCAAAAACCGCAGGGCATAGGCTTTCCATTTGTCGGTAGGCAGCGACACCAAATGTAACAACAGAAGACAAGGGCCGGCAACAGATCGCTTTATTACGAAAATCAACACGTATTTATATATATTTCACATACATTATTATAGCTTATTCATGTAAACAAACGCAGTCTTCTTATTGATTGCTTACCGGAAGTTAAGCAAACAAACACAGGCTTCTGATTGGTTGTTTGTGCGTCGGTGGCACAGTGGTTAGGACTCTCGCCGACCATGCACATGGTCCGGGGTTCGAGCCCACACCGGCGCACACCTGATATCCGTGGTCGGCCTGCAAAATTTGGGCTACCGATATCCATGCTGAAAATTCCATACTTGTACCAAAAATACAGTGTGGAATCAAGCTGTAAATCAAAAAAAATATAAAAAAAATTTCTAGAAACCATCGAAAAGTCGAGCCACCTATCTGCAAATCATATTTGCCCACGTTTAAGTTTACTGTGATTGGTTGTTGAATTAGCCTTGCTCATATTTTCTCACGGCCCATATTAGTGACCTAGACATTGGCGTAGATTAATGTCTACCAATTGGCTAGCAGCCTGCTCTCAGCACATATTCTTTCAAATAGTTTTAATTGTGTCACTAGCTCACTTCATGTTTTTTAAACTTCCATTTTTGTTCTTGTGTTTGTGAATAAAAAAAATATACGCAATATTTTAGAGCAACATTCGTTAACAGACCATATGAAGCGAAGAAAATCAATGAAGTATGTCCTGTGGAAACGACTAAATTAACTGTTCAACCGGAGCAAACATACTGGGAGCCTGCTACGATCATTTCGAAATATAACGAAATAAAAAACAAAAATAATTATAATTACTGATATATATATGTTATAAAGTCTGTTTAACCCAAAACAAGCACATTTTTCAAATATATAATGGTGTTTAAATTCACTGGGTTTTCTCTCCTTGTGAAGCGTCTGTGTGTGAAACGGTTATGTGTTGCATTTGAATATTAAATAATTCTAAGGAGAGATGGGATATACTCAGTGATGGCAAATTGTATGTTCCGTTGTGCATTTCTGAAATATATACATCGAATGACCCTACTGATTTCAAGCAGTATTCGCAGTCAGTGATTTCCAGGTCACATTTTTCATGTGAATGTTTTCTTTGTGAGCATCTAGATTTCCCCAAGAGTTTATTAATCATCTCTCCTGGTGACCTTGGACGTGACTAGTTGTTTATGTGTGTTTTAACACTTTCTAGGCTACTCGTATTGGAACTGATTGTTCCTTTGACTTGAACTTTGACCCTCTGTATGTGAAGTTTCTTTCTTATCGGTTGATAAATGTTGTCTATCTCTATGTGTCCATTGATTGGTGATTCACTGGAATACCAGACTGGCTTCTAAAAATTCTCTAGCATTCTTGTTGTTTCCTCTGTCTAATATTTGAACGTTGTCCCAGTCGAATTGATGCCCATGGTTGTCTGTGTGTAGTGATATGAGGGAGTGGATATCATGTCTTTTGACTGCTAGCTTATGTTCGTGGATACGAAGACGAAGGGGACGTCCACTTTGGCCAATGTATTATTTTTCGCAGTTGTTACAATTTATTTTGTAGATGATGTTGGTTTTGTCTTCTTTCGCTGTTGAGTCTTTCGGTTGACATAGAATTGAGTGCAGAGACTTTGTTGGTTTGTGTACGACGTCAATTCCTAAAGGTTTGAAGAGTCTTGTAGTGATTTTTGAGATATCCTTTATGTATGGTAAGGCGATTTTCTTTGTGCTTTCCTTGGTGGCTTTTGCTTTGGTAGGTTGGCTTGGGGGTATATGTCTCTTGATGAAATTCCGTGGATATCCATTCTTTTGGAAGACGTCCATGAGATACTTTTCTTCAATTTTCCTTAAGATGGGAATGCTGCAATGAGTCCTTGCTCTCTTGAATAGTGTTTGTATGCAGTTCCTTTTGTGTGCTATTGGGTTGTTGCTGTTGTAATTCAGTATTTGGTCTGTGTGACTTGATTTCCTATGAACTTGGATTTCTTATTCCCCTGTGGTTGTTCACTTAACTAAGACGTCCAAAAATGGTATTTTTTTCTCGGATTCCTCCTCTCTAGTGATTTTGATGTCGTTGAAGAAGTTGTCTATTAAGTTGTGAGTTTTATCTAACTCATTTCTTTAGATTATTACAAATGTGTCGTCGACGTAGCGTATCCAAATTTCGGGGTCGATCTTTGGTAGAATTATGTTTTTATCTAACTCAAGTTTATAGGAAATCAACTCACACAGACCAAATCCTGAATTACAACAGCAACAAACCAACAATACACAAAACGATTATATGTTGCATTGTAATAGTGACTACTTCGAAGGAGAGATGGGATATACTTAGTAATGGCAAATTATATGTTCTGTTGTTCAATCTTCACGTTTGTAGGAATCTGTGAATCAGAATCAATACTGGAAAGCTTTTTCATCAACACGCGCCCACCAAGGTTTGAACCTAGGACATTCTGATTACAAGGCGAGCTCGTTAACCTCTAATTCACATTTGAGATTTAGGACTTTCATCCATTCACAATATAATAAGACAATCAGCTGATGCCTTTGGCGATTATTCTTTCTTACGCTCAACCTGCTGAAACCTACTGGTCACGAAGTCATACTGGAATCTCAGGTAAGTACCTGACTAAAATACGGCCAGTCGCTAGTGAGCATTTGACTACTATTCAAGCATTGGTTTGTTGAGATTAGATGGAATGTTTACAGTATTGAATAATGAATAAATAAAACCTGTATGATGTAATACATATACTCTTAAAATATAAAGAATTTTAAATGTTACTGTTGTATTTATGGTTTAGAATAATCTGTGTTGTCTTAGAATGATAAATAAATTCCTATTTCATTACAATAATCTCGGTGAGTGTGATATCTCCAGTATGTTGCATTGTCGTTCAGAACAGTCCTTGAAGTATGTTTTGTGTTGTTAATATTTGCTTTGTTTATGATACGTGCTCCATGTCACTGTGTCATTCCACAATTGTCGTTTCCAAATAGAGTTTCACCCGATGCGATGTACTGTTGTGCGATATCACACACTAGTCTCATCAGCGTGTATCCAATCACCTTCCATTTTACTCGAAGCATTTCTTAACTAGAAGATTCCCGTTTGATTTGTCTCCACAGTTTCTTGGCGCTGGTTCTTTTTGACTAGCAAGTCAATCTTCCGTATGTGGCCAGCGATGGAATACGTTGGTCATAGTTCTTCATGTTGCTCCAAGTTTCCTTTCTCTTGTGTTGTTTTAGTTTTCAAATTCCTTCGTGGTCAATACCGTTGAAGTCCTTTTTGAAGTGGATGAAATTTAGATAGTGATTTGACTGCGTTTATACATTCTGTTCAACGCTGATGCAAAGAGTTTCTATTTTATCTACTCATGGGTTGCTTCTCCTACATTTCTCAAGAATAAACTGACTAAATGGTCTGCTTGACGTGAGAAGAAGCTAAGCAATCATCGTTGACTTTAAACATGATCCGAAAGAGGATTGTTTTACAGGAACATGCCAAATTTCTTCATTAGCGTCAGGTGCTCTATCCAATTGAAATGATGCATTAAATATTTGTGTTAGATAATAACACAAGATATCAGCACGCGTTTGCAGTAAATTGCTTGCTACACATTCGCGACCAAGACCGTGTGATGGCTGTTGGCATTTGAGACATGGCAATACATACTTTTCATTGAAAACAGGGAGATGGTCATGGTCACATGACTGGAAATATCAAATTCAACTATTTTAGCCCGTTTTGCTATCCAAGATCAATTTTAGCATTTACATCAGAATAGGCATCAAGTGAAATGTGTTTAGTGCTTGTAAATTGCTTAAAAAGTCTCCAGGTGTGAGAAGCTCTCTCACATAGTCAGAATGTTTCAATATTTACCCCATCTAGTTTTTTCATTCCAGACCTAGTCAATGAGTCTGTTCGTCAAACACATGCGTTATCATGTGATGTGCACAAGAAGACCCATAGGTACTTTTTATCACTTCCGAAGGTTATGAAATATTCACTTCAGACTGTTGGCTTCTGTCTCTGTGTTCGTTTTCAGTGCATCATGTGAAATTCCGTCTGCTACTGCTTCCCTCCTGACTGGCCTCTAGTAACTTGATTACATTTGAGACTCCTACTTCGTTGGAAGATTGGTGTTCGTTTGTGATACCGTGGGTGATATTTGAGGTACTGCCGGACAAGTTACAGGTGATACTCGGTTCAAGAGTCATTTGAATTGATCAGCGCATCGTTTTAATTTTTTGGTCTCTTCCAACCGCTGTGCATCGGTGGCACAGCGGTTATGACTCTCACTGACCATGAACATGGTTCAGGGTTCAATATCCTACCGACGCACACTTGATATCTATGGTCAACCTGCAAAATTTGGACTACCGATATCACATGCTGAAAATTCCATACTTGTACCAAAAATACGGTATGGAATCAAGCTGTAATCAGAAATATCAAATATTAAGAGAAACTTCAACACACTGAAAATGTATTAAAAATTCGAAAAATTTGAAGAACGATCATATTCTTCGTTGGGATTGGAGAGGCGAAATGAAACAGTGGACTGATGAAAGCCAGCCGATGTGTCTATTCTAGATAAAAGCAAGAATCAGAATGGGGACGTGTAATCTATATAAATAAACGTGGCTGAATAGGAAGACTGCCAAGGTAGCCAAAGAAATGAGACGTTTTGGCATAGAAGTGTTAGGTATCTGCGAAAGCAGATTAAATGGAAGTGGATTGTCAACATTGTCAACTGGAGAGTCAGTAATCTATGCCGATCACCCAGAAAACAATGGCGAGCACACTTAGGCAACGAGTGGATATAATGATGTCACTAGTGGCAGGCACAGCCGTAATACGATGGGAATGAAATTCATCAACCAGTACCAGGAAAGCAAGACTTAATTTAAAAGAAAGGAAGGAAGCAAGGTCACAGTTATTGAATTCTATAGGCAATGAGAAACTAGAGAAGAAGGAAGAGTTCTATAGACGACTGGAAACATCCCAAACGGGGAAATCGAAATCCTCATGGGCATTGTGAATGTCAGCTGAAATGAGAACAGATTATACCGGAAGAGAATTAATCAAGGTTCAAGACCCTCTAGCTTGGCGAAATCAATCAAAATGGAGAATTTTCTCAGACCTCTGCACTTTCAATTATCCCGTGATCAGAAGCAGCGTGTACAAGCAGAAGAATATACACAAAGCAACATATATTTTGACTGATGGATACACCACTAGGAAGATCGATGTCATTGCAATGTTGCTCAAGGAAGTAAAAACGAAGTCAGCTTGCTGGACACAAAGTCGAGAAGAGGAGAATATATGGGCTCGGACCACTATATAGCTAGTTCCAGGAACTTTCGTGGTGAAGCTTAAATCCCTCGAAACTACTGGAGATCAGTCACTGTAATTCAATTTCAACATTCAGAAGGTGAAGCCTGAAACTACACTAGATGCCTTAACTGCAGATCGGATTGGAACAAACATGGATAAACTACGAAGCATCACTGAGGAAAACTGCCTGGAAGAACACTGGAACTAACTCTCTGAAAGTGGTGTTCAAGGAAACGTGCACAACAGTTATATAAAGAAATAAGAGACTTGGCAAGGAATGGCCATCAGCGTGAAAGCTACTGAAAGGGAGAAAAAGAGTATGGTGAATAAGAAGATGAATTAATGCAAAGATGAGTTCAATGTACACCTCATCCAATGAACACAGAAGTGGGAACGAGTACTAAGAAGGACGGAAAACAACTCTATGTCACACTGGTTGACAACTTGAGCAGAACAGGCAGGTAGACGGCAGGTAAAAGAGACCTCCCAACACTATATGAGTTAACCGTATCTCAATGCGAGAATAAATCAATCCAGATGATTAA